CAGCAGCCTCCATCCCCAGGGACAGGCACACACAGGCTCTGCAGCAGTCTGTGACTCACACCCCAGGAATTTTGGGAGATATCCCCACCGAGCCCAGACTGCAGCCCTGCTCTCATCCCCAGCCATGTGAAGATTCATGTTTCTCTTGTTAAATCAGTGATGACACACTCAAGTGCAGGTCTGGGCACGGGCCAGGCTCATGATGAACATCTCCAAGCATTTCACAGAATATCTATCCCCACACTCTTCACATACAGACATTCTGTAGCCATCTGCAAGTTGATCGTTTGTGCATCATAAAAATGTCCACGAATTTCTGCAGATACTTACACCATGCCACTAAAAATAAATGTTTAATCTCAAGGGGCAGTAATACCATACTTCCAGCACTGTGGAAAGTGTTGATTAGCCTCCTCCTTGGCAACCTTGTAAAGCATTACACAGCCTATATATTTTATGTATCAACCCATTTCCACGAGTCTTCTCACAAAATAAAAATTAATCACTTTGCTTAGGAAGTTTACAGAATAAAGCCTTGGCTTTGTAATGTCACCATTTGAGAGAAGAGTTAGTTTTTACATTTCACATGGCTCTTAAAACTGCTTTTTTGCGTTGCAAATACTTCCTCAAACTCATCACCTCAGAAATTTGGACCTGGGGCTCTGTGTATGGTGAGGTGCATGTCGAATATTTCCCATAATTTGTTAATCATCAGACACTTTCTCATTCCTTCCCTTTCCTGTCTGCTTTCATCACAAAGATGCTTCATGACATATGTTCAAGGACTTTTCCAAAGAACAAAAAGGGAGGAAGGAAGCACAGGTCAAAAGGGGAAATAAAGGGGAAAAGGAGAGAATAAAAACAGATCCTGCCAGGAACACAGTGCAAATAGCAGCAATGACACTCCTCTACTAAATAAAACTTTTATGACCTTAGAAAACATTAATAATCATTGGGAGCTTATGAAAAATGAATAAAATCAGAGGACTCTATGTACTGAAGGTAACTTGGTGTCCTCCTCCCTCATGCTTTCGAGAAGTCTCAGTCAATGATACAAACCAGAAGAAAGAGACTTTCAACACTGCCTATCTACTGAGTCCATGAAAGAACACTTCAGTGATAGTCTTAAATTAAAAATCCCTCCACATTTTGGTGCCTAGTTATCCCCCAGTATGCCCCTCCTCTCTGTTCTACCTCTATACAGCCAAGTGGCTTCTTAAAAGTTACCCTTCTTGGGGCATTAGCCATCACTTGGCTGTAAATGAATTAATTGCTCTTGGGACAAAGCTAGAGAAATATTCTGAGATAGTCAGACGAAACAACTGGCAGTCACTAGAATATTTTGTACAGTTTTGTCAGCAAGATTTACACCAGTGCTGAGTGGTGCACTGTATCCAAGTATGTATTGCATGCTCTGTGCAAAGATCATTTCCTGTCCTCTCCACAACCCAGCAGACCTTCTCCCTCAGGAACTACCACTGAGCAATTATCCACACTCTGCTTGTGAAAAAGCACTACCAGGAAAGGACTTCAATCCATAAATAGAGCAGGATTGTCTTCTGCTGTTGTTCAGCAACTGGGGCCAATGCCAGGTGACAGAGACAGATCCCCAGAGCTCCAAGCAGCACTTTCAGAGAGCAGCTTAGGAAGTGCTGCTGAAACACATTTGGCCAGCCCTGGTCTCTTGCAGCACACACAGAGCTGAATATGTTACAGTTTGTACCTTGCAAACCCCTGGTTAATAAAGCAAATGGTTCTTGAGAGCCTGTAAAGAATGCAGCCTACTTCTTCAGAGGTTTGCATCTTACACTTGTTTGGTGATGAGGTGTAAAAAGGACAGAAAGTCTGAGACAGACTGGGAAACAGGATCCTTTAAGGTTTATATATTTTATATATATAATGTATATATATTATATATATAAATATATATATATATACATTATGAGTTTCCACAGAAGAAAAACACATTAAAATTTGTCCAAATCAGCTGATAACCAGTTTCAGCACATTAAAGGAAGGGCACTGAACAGACATTGTATGTGATGGCAAAAACCTTGATCTGCAGAAAAACAAGTCTAAAAATTCCCAAGCTGTGAAATCCAAAACTGAACTCCACTTACCTTAGTGTTCATACAAGACTTCCCACGTTTATACTCTTTGTGACTTGCTCTTTTATCAAGCTTGTTCCACAAAGCTTTGGCCTTCCATGTGGTCACTCTCGATTTCAGTTTGGTGTAAAAGTTTCTATTGTCCAAAGGATCCAACTCAAGTTGGCGAGTGAGAATATTGAAGGCCTGAATGGTGCCTTTGCATGTCGATGCTTGTACAAAGTTTTCAAATATCTGGCCAGCTTGATTGTATTTTTCATCATCGTTCTCCCCCATGTTCTGAGAGCAGAGCTTGAGGAGAATGATTAAGCTGGAGCTCTTGTGCTGGGGTACAGGTGATCAACAACAGCAAGTACTTCCACACATGTTATTCCTAGAAAAGACCAATACAGGTCATATTAAAGCAGGCTCTGCATGATCAAATTAAACCCACAAACTGCACACACAATATGAACATTAAACCCCAGCACACAGTGACTAGACAAGGCACAAAAAGTTAGCAGTGCTACCCCAGTGTTACAAACATGACACACTCGTGCTATCGTGATTTGTACTCATAAAACCCCTGCGAACTCGAGCCTACTGCTACAAGAAAACCAGCTTCACTGAGAGCTTGAGGATTTCTTTCATTTTTGTTTTTTTGTTCAGTCTTAGACAACTGATGAACAAACTCCAGTGTCCACATTCTTTCCCCAAGCAGAATTTATGTAACAAAAAGTGACATTTTGGTCTTAAGAATCCATAGAAACCTGCAGCCAGAAGTTAACATGGCTTGATGGATTTTTTTATGCTGTTGCACAGGTTAGGGCCAAGGGTGCAGCTTACCCAAAGCAATTTAGAATTGGCACAATCACTTGCCACAAGCAAATGCACAAAACAGCCTGCACACAAACACCATCATAAGTTACACCAGAACTGAAGAAACCAGAAAACAAGCAATCATAGAGAGCCCCCCTCTTCCTAAAACTCTTGCCAAAATGAGAAAGGGTTTGGTGCTCTAGTGCATAGAAAGGAATTTTATCTCCACGTCTCCACATGTCCAGTGCTGAAGTTATGTCTTTGGAGCCTTACCTTGTCATGTGCTGATGATAGAAAGTAATGATGTTTGGCCTGCTAAGCCCCACTGGCTTTTCCTAGTAACATGATCACTGTCAAACTGTGCCTGATATTCCAGATAAATACCCTGACATCCTGCAAGAGCAATGCTATTCTAAATTAACACGAGTTTCAAAGAACTAAAATACTTTCATTGCAGCACTCCCTTATCCTTCTTTAACCTTGCTCTCCAGCTCTAATGGGGAGCATCTTAGAGTCAGCCAAGGTCCACAGAAAGATTCCAAATGGCTTTCACGTTTTTCCAAGAAAACTGTTACAGGTTATGTATAAACTTGTCCTCAGAAGAAGGTTTACCTGGACTCAAGTTCAGAAATTTAAGTCATGTATTCTTTTTCTTGCTATTAAAGAATTATCTGCCAGTCCAAGAAAGCAAAAACTAAATCAATGCTTGCCTAGCTTCCCACATAATTAGTTATTTTACTTGGAATGTCATCTGTTGGCTGATAGTTTCAGAATAAATTGTTAGAAAGGCCTTTGAAGTCATGCTTCTCAGTTTAACACTGTTCACAATCTATTCGTTCTCTGCTTGCATTTCCTTCAAAGAAGAAAAAAGGAAACATAACCAATGTATTTAAGTAGAGACCCACCATGTCTATCTAACCATCCTCTAATACAGAAAAATATTATGCAACTTATTAAAGAGATCCCACAGGGAGATATAAGGAAGCATTTGGAATACTCACATTCCCTGTCTGTGCTCAAAATAAATAACCTTTGTATGCACATCATCAGTCTGTTGTGGATTTGTGGGTAAAATAAATTGGCAATGTTGAGAGTTTGTACATTTTCTTAGACCAAATGTCATGATTAAATATTTGGTGCCAAGAATAAAGTCAGGAAATTTTTGTTTTCCCCTCTGAGTACTTCATTTATAGCATGTTTCATGCCTCCTCTGCAGAGCTTTGTGAGGTAAAAGCATGAATGTTTTACATGCCCTGCCTTTCAGAAGATGTGAATTTTCCAAGCAATGGAGTGCCATGAAGTTGCACAGGCTCAGGAGAGCTCAGGACACCTTTCAGAAGTGTAATTTTCCAAGCAGCAGAATGGTTCTTTTATCAAGCTTGTTCCACAAAGCTTTGGCTTTCCATGTGGTCACTCTTGATTTCAGTTTGGTGTAAAGATTTCTATTGTCCAAAGGATCCAATTCAAGTTGGTGAGCGAGAATACTGAAGGCCTGAATGGTGCCTTTGCATGTTGATGCTTGTACAAAGTTTTCAAATATCTGGCTCAGATAAAAGAGAAAAGTTACACGGACTTGGGAGAGCTCAGGACACCTTTCAGAAGATGTGATTTTCCAAGCAGTTGAGTGCCATGAGGTTGCACTGGCTCAGGAGAGCTCAGGACACCTTTCAGAAGATGTGATTGTCCAAGCAGTGGAGTGCCATGAGCTCACACAGGCTCAGGAGAGCTCAGGACACCTTTCAGAAGATGTGATTGTCCAAGCAGTGGAGTGCCATGAGCTCACACAGGCTCAGGAGAGCTCAGGACACCTTTCAGGAGAGGTGATTTTTCCAAGTAGCTGAGTGCCATGAGCTCACACGGATTTAGGAAGAGCTCAGGACATCCCGGGCAGGCTGGAGCCCGGGTGATGGGCGAGCACAGCCCCAGCAGCAGCGAGCCTGGCTCTGGGTGGCAGAGCTACACCACAGGCTTAGACCAGGCCTAAAGGGACTGATGGACCCAAGAGCTCCATGGCAAAGGCAGGGAACAGCCGTGCAGCACAGTGCAAGATGCTGCCATGTGCTGGAATGAGCCCTTAGTGAAGATAAACACTAATAACCATGGGGCTGGAACAGCTCAGTGGGCACACGCCTCAGCATTTGTAGCCCATTTCTAAAATATACTTAAGATCAAGGCTAAACACTTCCTTGACCCGACTTTTCAACTTGCCTGAGATATTTCTCTAAGAGGGAAGTGGAAGTATTTATTTTCCTTTTCTCTCAAAATAATTGGAGGGAATGGGGGAGCAGGGCAGTGTCAGAGGCGTGTGCAGCAGGACACGCTCTCCTCTGTCACCATCACCTCACATTCTGCTGCCTCTCCTCTGTCCTGTGAGCTCAGCCCCAGCCTGGGGGGCTCAGAAAACACGAGCATCCTCAGAAGTTCATTCTGATCTGAGAGTGATCACAGCCTCCTACCCCAGTGCCTTTTTCTGCCCACACACACAAGAGTTTATGGCCTCAGCAGCTTCTGTCCAGCAGGGAAGAGCAGAGCAGTATCTGAACCAAGCACAGAAGAAATGCAGCATGTGGCAGTGCTGGTAGCAGCGAGGACAAGGCAGCACCCACTGCAGACAAACACATTTTTAGCACAGAGTCCAAGTGCTGCACACACACAGACCTGGCCTTCCTCTGCCTTCCCACTGGGGAGCACAGCAGGACACCTCCAGCCTTAAAGCCTCCCTTCTCCAACACCACAAAGCTGAGATTCTGTTTTCTGGGCACAAAATCTCCTCAGGAACTTCCAGAACACTCCCATCTCGCCCATACTGAAAAACTGAAGAGTGGCATCTCAGAAGAGACATTTGCTCACTAGTGAAGCATTTCTCCTTGCTGTGTCAGAGGTCACACTCTCCAAAAAAGTAACATTTTGTGGTCAAAAAAGCAGGACGAGACAGGAGACTGGTTACTAAGGTTTCTGGATTGCTGGGAACACCACTTATTTTCTCTTTTTTCTTTTTTTTTTTGGCATGAACAATGTGTTGACAGATGACAGAGCTGAAGATGGTGCTCTAAGTATATGCAGCTGATGGAGAAGTATGCATTTCTTTCTGAGGAGTCACTGATATTTCACTGCAGTACTGTATATAACTCATTAGAAGCAACATAATAAGGATAAGAAGTTCAACAAGGTCATTCTTGCCTATAATTAAAGTTTCCTGTTCTGTAACTGTCTCAAAGAGACAATGCATTCACTGCTTACCTGTAGAAGAAAAATTAACATTGTTTGGCAAAGTACTTGAGTTCTTAGAGTATTATCATTTATCCTTTTACTTCCTTCATCATACAGCTCACTCTAGGGATGAACTACAGAGCCAAAAATCTCATCAAGGTGAGTACTGATGCTGAAACTGCAAACTATGCTTTTTAAAGTGACTTTTGAACTTCCTCTAGTAGCACAATCCAAAAAATAAAATGCATTTTATTTGAAACTTCACTGAAGTGGTGCAGAGCCCAATAAAAACTTGGGTCAGTGAAAGGAAAAGGAGGAGAGAGCAGGAAACAGGCAGGACAAATAGTTCTTTTAAGTCAGAACTGAAGCATTTGTGGGTTACTCAAGAATTGCCATTTTAGGACCCATGCATGATGTATTCAGCACTCACAGGAACTTGGCCTTCCCATAGCATTGCAGGAGTCTCTGGAGGGCACGGAGCACACTGGAAAGAAGAAGGGTTCCATTTCAGTGGCCCCTCCACTGTCAGAAGTAATCCCTGCCCCCTTTCTGCCTCCAGCCAGGGTAACAGGAATGTCAGATAAGGAAAGCTGAGAAGTGCTGCTCGTGCCTGGTGGCTGCCCAACAAGAAAGTGAAGGTCTTGTTACAACTAAGAGGAAGCAGCGTAAGTTAAAGCAATGGCACATGCACGGGTGTATCCATAGGAAAGCTGATGTCTCCAGTCTCCGCTGGTATTTCCTGGCAGCAAAGCAAGCTCTGCTACTGCAAACAATCCTGAGAATCCTGAAAAAAGCAGCTCCACTGTCAGGGCAATTCCAGCAAGTATCTCTAGTCAGAGGGGCGTATGGAGCTCATTCACATCTGCACATGGAGCCGCTCAGCAGCAAGCTGAGCAAGCAGCAAAGTTGACATATATGAGTCATTACAGGAAAATAACACAACTTTTTGACAGCAACCCCATACAAATTGCTTGTCAGCAAGGTCTCGAGGTAGTACCCGCAAAAATTAAAAACCTCTTTTGGCTTATTTGTCCCACTGGAATGAGAACAACCCTAATTTAATTCAAACTTGAAGCACTTAAGTTCTTCCCTAGTCCCTTAATGCGCTGCTTCTAATACTTGAGAACATGTTCCTCGGGGAGATCAGAAAAGGATTAAATTCCTAGCATTTCAATACCACTAATCCTGATTCCATTTTCAATACAGCCCTAATTCTGCCATGTTTACCAAGACTAAATTCTTTTATTAAGACTCCAGTTTGGCATGCAGGATACAATACATTTATTGTTGGCTTAAGGTTAGAAACAACAACAACAGAAACAAAAGACTGCGTTCTGCAATGTCTGGTAATCACAGCAGTCATCTACTGCAGCCCTTCCTCATCATCAGTTCAAAATACAGTATCTCTGCTGCCTCTTTCCCTGACTGTGAAACAGATCAATGCCATCACAAAAAGTGACGTTTGCAAGTGAAACTGGCCATGTTACAGGACCTCCTGAGTTTTTCAGCTCAGTTTCTATTGTGATGCACTTTGTTTTTGTGGAGGCCGTTTTAAATGTAAACATTTCTATCTGGAGGAAAAACAGCTTTTTGGTGGTTTGGTTTCTTTGCATGTTGTCCTAAAAATGACATAAAAGGAAAAGAGGATTATATGCGATTCTGGTAACAAGTAAAGCTCTCATTTGCTTTGCTTATAAGACTAGTTAAAAGCAAGTTGGTCTGAAATACTAGTTTTGTGCTGGCCACAGACAAGCCATTCCTTAAGATGCACAGTCCCACCAGAAACATCAATGAAGGGAAGCTGCCGCTGAACAAAGCCTCACAAACTGTCTCTGTAAACAGCCAGATTACTCTTCTCTATTTTTATGAAAAGCCAACTTCCACAGAACTCCTGCAAAATAACTTTTGGGGCCAAGTATGGAATTCAAAACAGCTCCCACTGAGACACTGTGTGCCTGTGCACTCACAAGGTTACCATGCACGCTATCAGCTTGTTTTGCAGGGGTGGTTACACGAGACATTTCAAGTTCCATGAGCCATTTCAAACACAGGCCTTCCAACAAGTGCTGCTGTGCCCGTTTAACCTGCTGCAGCTGGAAAAAACACAGCTGGAAACATGTGCACAGGCACACTAAGGCTTGGCATGGGATATTCCAGATATATCCACAGGAAGGTCATTTCATTTTATGCTATCTGTAGGATTTTATCTGCCACCCAGACCGAGTCACATTCCACACGTTTTAAAGCTGGAAGCTTTAAAAATAGCCCGGTTTGTTTCTTGATGTTAGCGACCTGAGCTTGGCTGTGGGAATACACCATGGCTGTGGCAGTGGCAGCAAATCAAAGTGGGATGGCAGTGCTGGGAGTGCTCACACTGACCCTGGAGAGTGCAAAGCTTCCTAAAGGAGGGCAGATTTCACAGGGAAGCCTGGGAAGAGTTCTGCCCATTGCTGGATTAGGGATGGGATAAATCCTTGCACATGGAGAAGAAAATCTGTATCTGTGTGCATGCAAACACACGTGCACGTATGCATCTCTGAAAGTACCCAAATAGAGAGCAGTGTCAATGAGCAGTCAAATGAGTGACATCCAGGCATCTGTATGCAGCTTAAAATACTCATCAGAAACACCATAATTTCTGAAGAATGAGTTCTAAAATAAAGATTTTCTTTTTATTTTTTATTTTAAAGCAATGCTGTTGGTAGTTACATCAGTGGAAATTACAACTCTAAACATACAAGTCCAACAGTTTTAAGGAGAAATGTCTCTAGCTCAATTCTTATTCTGTGCAGGTTACAATAAGCACCTAAAAATTATTTTTTACAGGGCTGCTGCAAGCTCTGCTGCAAAGTCCCAAGTTTCCATGTAGTCTGCATCTTCAAAGGTAACTGTAGATGATTAGACCACAGTCATTTGGGGTTAATGCTATGCATAAACAAGATATTAAAACCTGACTCTTGTTTAGACTGGTTACAAGGAAGAACATTTTTCAGCTCTGTTGTAGTAGATCAGAAACACAATATAAACAACAGTAGAAAGTTTATGCTGATGTTTTCCTAGGTTAGGATTACAAGAACAAAAGAAGACAGAAGGGTAACAGCAGCCTACAAGAAAGCACACCTCTTAAGAAAAGGCACCTGTTATTTAAGCTAGAAGGATGATTTATGGATATAGTCTCAGTGAAAACAATTTAAAGGACAATCTTTAAGCTCTTTGAAACGCCTGCCTTTCTTTTCCTATAGTGACACTTCTAATTTCAAGCTCACAAGCTGGAACAGCGTAGATAATCACAGAATAGGCAGTGCTGGCTGTCTTTTGATCAGCACAAGATTTTCTACTTTCAATAGGATGTTTGGAACACTGAGCCAGACTAACTTGGAGGGCAAGTAATACTCTATTTTTCCATTCCCAAAATCACAGCAGCAGGGAGATGGCAGGACAGGACACACTGAGCAGGGATGGATGACACAAGAGGATGACGGAGAGGGAACTCTGGCACCACCCCTGCCCAGCTGCCAGTGGGAACTTCAACATCCCACTTCTCTCACAGCCCCGTGTCCTCCTCTCTGCTCCTCACCCCGAGGTCACAGGCAAAACTCAGATGGCACAACTGTGACCAAGAGGAAGACAAATAAAAGCATAGCCTGTAGCTGACAGAGCCCTGTCAGCAAAACCCCTGGTACATAGAAAGTTATACCAACAAAACTGAGCCACATTCGGCAGTGTCTCCTTTAGTGCAGCTTTCCCTTTGTGTGCACGGGGACATAATTACGGAGTAAATATACCATCAAAGAAAACAAACACATGAAGCAGTAAAAAGCAGACTCTTAGTCGGCAGTCACAGACACGATGCTGGCTCATGGCACTTTGAGAACAGGGATAATGCAGAAGGATGGGGCAGCAAGACATGAACTGGCACAGAGATGTGGGATTTCTGGTGCAGCCCAGCAGGGAGCAAGGCACACAAAGTGCCACCAGTCTGGAATCCTTGACACCACCCAGTGCTCAGGTACA